CATTGGCTCTTGACTCACTGAGTGAATGTAGCTAGAAATTCAAATTATCGATCGTTTGTCCTGCTCGCGCATAGGCCGATCGATGCCTATTATGAGCGCGGCTACTCGCTTCGCAAGCTATTGCTTGCTAAGCTGTTCGTTAGGCCTGGCTAACAATGTGTATATTACATGGCTATCATGCAGAGGCTGATGGAGTTCTACCCAAATATGTACATCAACTTTCGGTCTATGCCTAAAGAGCTTGAATACCGAGAACAGAAATTAGTTTCTAAGGAAACTAAAAGGCTGATCTGCGGCTAATTTTAGCATGTTTTTGTGTATATTTGGGCTGAAACCTGTCAAGCACTGCGTAATATACACATGCTGCCGACGGGCAGACAGTGGTATAAATTCTTGTTGCACTTTACCATAGTAGCAGCATAAGTACTATCTAAAGTCCAGAAACATGTTTCGCCGGTATTCTGCCGCTGCTTGGCACAGCTGCTAGGGGTCCGGCTCATCGGTGGGTCCCCCAACTTTTTTGTTTGCTTTCTGATTGATATACGCGGTTACCCTGCAGAGGCTGATGGAGTTCGGCCCAAATATATACATAAAATTTTGGTCTTTGGCTATTAACCCTTAAATATACTGATATATATTGAGAACAGGGAATAATATCTCAGGAAATTATAAAACTGAACTTTCAAGTCCGGTATGCCAACCACAAAGCAGACAGGCAAAGCTGAGGGACCCACTGATGAGTCGGATCCCTTGCAGCTCTGTCAAGCCGCGGCAGAATGCCGGCGAAAGATGTGTCAATGGGCCTTTTAGCTAGTACCTGGGCTGTTAGTATGGTAAATGAAAACATCGAAATAGGACACAGTTAGGTTTTTGCTTATACATTCGCGTAAATGTTGTTTAACCTGCATCCAATTTGTTGTTAATAATCTTTACGGTGATCCCTTATATTCTCTCATTCTGTTCTGCCCCCTCCCATCTCCCCTCCACAGGCTCGCGCCAGCGTTGACTGCATCTCAGCGCAAAGCTCGTTCTGCTTCCATGAGCGACTTGGGTCACTACTCCACCGATATGGCCTCCTCCGCGGGCATCACCTTGCGCCTCTGCGAGCTGGCTTCTCGTGACCAGAGCGCTCTGCGTCTGGCGGACTACCTACAGGCCGGTTCGTCCTACTCCGTCAAAAAACCGGATGCCCCGAAAAGAAGAGGGCGAATGACCTGTCTGGCCCAGGGCCAGCTTCAAGCATCTGCAGTCGTTGGAGGAGGAGTGCGAGCTTTTGCTGCGGGTGACCTCATTGTGGGCGACCTGATCCCAGTCATGTCCTGTTCACCGTTTCTTAACGCACAGACACGAAGATGGATACGAGGTTGGTTCTTCATTTTTTTCATGTGATTTTTTTTCCTTCCGCTGGGTGCTCACGAGGAAACTCGAAACAATGATATAAAAACTACGACGACTCCACTTAGTCGCCGCTAAGAACGAAGTACGGTGGAACCTCAGTTAACGAGGTTAATCTGTTCCAGCACCGAGCTCATCATGTGAAACATTCATCTTGCGAAACGTCGCCAACGAAGCTGTATCAGTTCACTGATTGGCTGCAGGTGACCGAGGACCCATGCTCTGGGAGCAAGACTCAACGGCGGATCCGGGCACACAAACACAGGCATTGACAACCCGTTAACTGAGTGGAAACTCGTCAGTCGAAACAGTTTCTGTTAGTGGTTCACCTATTACCTGAAGTGCTCGTAGCTGGGGCTGTTGTTTATCCGAAGCGTCACTGTATTAACCGGAACCAGACCGTCTACAAATCGGATCAAATCCAATCCCTTCCAGCCAGACAGACAGATGACAGGTCGGTCTGAAATTTCGGACTTTTTAATGGTGTCTTTGCGAAAGTTCGTTGGCGGGAGAAAAACGTTCATTTAATAGCTTTTAACATAACACCTGTCAAAAATGGTTCCAGAGTGTTCGTGATGCTCCGGATGACTGTTTATCGTGTTCCGCAATGAAACGTCCACCCATAACAACATTTTCAGTTTAAAATAGATCACACCTACGTGCGTGCTAACTGGCTGGTCACCTGAATGACAGTGCAGCATTATAAAAGCATGCAATCCCGCCTAGTACCTTTTGACGCAAGAGTGGAGTTAAAGAACATCATGTCTAAAGGAGCAACATTCCTGGGCAGCGAGAAAAAATGGGACATCGCGTTTTACTTTTCAATACAATTTTCGTTCTCGTTTGGAGTCTTTGTAGCTGAGGCGTCTACACATCGTTAAAGGCTAGCCACACATTATGAGTTTAGAGGGTTATTTTCTTTGCCACGCGACTTTCATGCGGCGTCTCTGCCGTGGTTTGAAGAAAATCTGGTTAAATCGCAGAGTCCATTGAACAATCCCCACCCCCCTGCGGAACCCACCAGTAGAGAGACCTTGGTCTTTAGGATCGAACGAGAGTAATAAAATGCAGTTGAACGGTCGATTTCGACGATAGCTATCGTGTGTACCACAGCAAGGTAGAACAGGGGTGGTGATTTGTGTGTGAATCGGTTAGAGCAGACTTGCGCTGGATCTACCGCAATTTCTCCTATTGTTCTGTGCTCGGTATCAGGAAAGGGTCAAGCTGACCGCAGGCGGGCTCGGGCACATATGGTGGACGTGGCGTGAGCCTAAACCAACACGTGCCAACGCACCCTCCATAGGCGGCATTGTTTGCACGAACGCCTCCCAAATAACGCCTACTGTACTCTGCTCTAGCTCCTGCGTTGGCTCAGCGCATCTACCGCGCGGCCCGCTAAGGGGGAGGGGGTACGCCTATATGTGCGTGCACATTCACCCACCCAGAATGCGTTTGGATTAACAAACTGACTCTTTCGCCTAACCTTCACACGCGTCAACTGTCATTCTGTACGTCTCAAGGACTTGAAGCTCGACCCCAACGGAATCAAGGGTTTCAGTGTTGTTCCCACGCTTGCCGTTTCAATAATATAGGAACTCTCTTTGGAAACTGCCGGGAAATTCCTAGAGAAAATGCAATGATAATGAAATTCCCATGAAAATCAAGTGCTTCGTCGAACACATATGGTACTTTTGAGTTGACCCAATTGTGAAAAAACTCGAGGCGTTCGGCGGTATTTGAACCCGCGTATCAGAAAAGGCTTTC